TTTCACTTACCATATGGTTTTCAAGGTCATGGTTGAATAATATTCCATGGTGTGAAGATCACAAATAACTTGTTCATTTAGCTGATGGAAATCAGGCTGTAATCCCTTCTTGCCTTCATAACGATCACCACCAGGAACCTTCATGGGGTGTCTACTTTGAATTCTCTTTAGCACGTATCAGGGGCAAAGTTGCTTAGCCACATGTAACTCATATTTAACTTTTTTGAGAAACTGTATGATGACTTGCCTAAAAGTTCTTCATTTTAAAAAATTCAATCTGAGGTTTTGTTTTTAGGGTTATTTACTTCATTTATTTTATTTTGTGGATTAATTCTTTGGGGGTTAGTATTTTTTATGTGTTTAGAAAAAAATAAAACAACTTTCCCACTCCAAGGTCATGAAAATGTTCCCTTGAACATTTTCCTAAAAGTTTCCTAAAAGCTCCACTGATGAGTCTTCCACATTGAAGTCTTTGGCCCATCTGGAGATCATTTTGTGTACGGTGTGAGAGAGGGGCCAGGGAGGTTTACTTTCCCATGTGGCTTCCCCGGGGGGGACCCAGCATACAGTTTGAAACACCATCTTTCCCTCTCTGTTATTTTTAATTACCATTATTCTGATTCCTGTTGAATTTGTATTCAACCCAAACTACAGGTGCTTTTTCACCTGTGCCCTTACATTTGTGTTTTTTTGTTTTACCTAAACACAGGGACTTGCTTTTGATTTCTGATAAGTTTTGCTTTATTGTTTGCATCCTATTGTTCCCCTTTCCTATTATGGTCCAATAACTTCGTTGTATCCAACAGGCTTAACAAGCATCCATTGTATTTTTTTCACTCAAAATACTTAAAACACTGGAGAATCCCAGGTCTTAAAAGATTCCTGAGTCAAGACACTATAGGACAATGCTGAGGGATCCCCAGCACGTCATTCTGTTATGTGTTCTCAGTGCTGTATCTCCTAGGTGAACCTCTGTGGCTTGGCCCACTTTAGTTCACCAACATACTTCCCTAAAAATCACTGCACCTCCCTCACATTGCCTTATGTAAGCACACTGATGATGTTCAGAACTTCTACCACTTGTTACCTCCAGCAGAGGCAGTGTCTTTTGTGTCTCAGTACCTCCGTCCTTTTGTCTGAGATCTGATTCCCACTCCCAAGCTGTCAGGCTACCCCTAATGTTGGTGAACTTAGGCTCATGGTTAGGACTGGCTTTTCAATCAGTACTTTCTCTTTATATATATTGGGAGGTGGGAATGAGAACATGGACCAAGCATCCTGCTTAGTTGTTTGAGAATTCTGTAAATGTGTGGTTTGTTTCCTTTACTGTAACAGTTCAGTCAGTCACTACAGTGTTGTCATTTGTTTCCTTTACTATAATAGTCCAGTTACAGGCCACAGAGCAGTGTATTGGTCAAAGGCGACTGACATGTACCCATAGGATTGCAAGATTCCCCCTTGCCATGTGCTATTGTGGTTGTTCTGACACTGTGGTCATTCTTATGTCCTAGTGTAACACATTGCTCATGGTTGTAGTGGTACTGATATAACAACTCTGTCCAGATACACTTAGCCACAGAAATACTGTGTCTTGCAGTTGCCTATGATACTCAGCATGGTTATGTCATGCAGATGGTGGCCAGGAACAATAGGGGTACCTATGTCTATTGGGCTGCATATTACCATGGGAATCCAGAGGAAGGCTAGACTGATGCTGAGGTTCTTAGAACATACCTGTCAGATATATGGCTTAAGTTTGTGGGTAAATAAGTTAATACATGTGTATTTTTTATTTTTTTTTTTGAGACAGGGTTTCTCTGTGTAACAGCCCTAACTGTTCCTGGAACTTGTTTTGTAGACCAGGCTGGCCTTAGACTCAGAGATTCGCCTGCCTCTGCCTCCCAAGTGCTGGGATTAAAGGCGTGCGCCACCACCACTGGGCAATGCATGTGCAATTTGTAGAATCAAGCCTGGCCTGTGAGAAGTATTGGGCAATGTTAGCTTTGTCTGTAGCTGGTCCAGGATTTTAACAGCTCTGCTTCAGTCAGATACAAGATCCATCGCTCACTGGTGATGTCATTGGTGGGCAATCTGTCATTCTCCATTTGCAAAGTGGGACTCAATGGCATTGTGTGTTGAGGGAGAAGGCAACAAAGTGAGTATGGGAACATCTTATAACCCTCTCGGAAGGTGGCTGACGTGTCTGGTCTGTTGTGGAAGGGCAGGAGCCAGACCTGAAGCAGCTAAGAGACAAACAAGTCCCCATTACCTGCCTGCCCGGCACTGTGTCCCTTGTTGCTGGCTTGTGTCACTCTTATTTCTCACTACTTAGCTTCCTCCTTTGGACAAGAAATCATGGCTGCCTCTCAAGGTCCAGTGTTTTGAGTTGCTTTGCTTTTAGACATCAGGAACTGAATGTCACCTTAGGAAGATTTAATAAAAGCTCAGGAAGACATGCTTTCTTCTATTTTACTTAATTGAACTGATGCCCACTAGTCGTAATCTGATGGCGCTCACAGCATACAGTGCGGGGGCCTTGGGGCCAAGGAAACTGCTAAAACCGTAGCAGGCTGGTTTTCAGGCAGCTTGGAGTGGCATCTGGGTTTGCGAAGTAATGCATACCTGGGGCTCAAGGAGATGAAAAAGGGTTTGCTGCTCAGTGCCTGGCAAAGAGCCTGCAAGTGGCGACAGATTGGTTAGTGACGCCTGAGGCCTTGCTCTAGTGACATCCTGTCCTGTCTTCATCTTCACGTCTTTACGGCAGTTTGCCTGAGGCTCCCTTTCATGTTCAATGAAGAGCCTGGCAGCAGTGTGTGTGTTCTACTTCATCTGACAACCCCTCCTCACCTTTAGCTTGCACTCTGTACCGGGCTGGTTACGACAGGGTGGGGGCTTGTAGTTGAAGTCCACAGACTTCAGGCAGCCTGTGAGCTCCTTGACGATGACCAGAACTGCTCATGTGTATGTATGTTCTAGGGAGCATTGATGACTGTTATGTGCAGACCCTGAAGATACTCCAATGCCTCCAAAGGTACCGATGTCATGCTAGGTCAGTGCTTCTCAAACCTCCTAATGCTGCAACCCTTTAGTACAGTTCATGCTGTGGTGACCTTCAACCATAGAATTGTTTTCATTGCAACTTCATAGCTGTTGCTTTGCTACTGTTAAGTCATTGTTCGACACCCAAAGGGGTCATGACCCACTACCTGAGACCGACTGTGCTGGTTATTTGAAGTTTAGTAAGTCCACTTTTGGTGGCTCACAAAATGATTCAGGAGGTATGTGGATACATGTTTCCATGTGAATAGTTAATGCAATTTCTGTTAGAAAGAAATACCAGCACATCAGACCAACATTTCAGGGATATTTGCTCTTTGGAGGAGGATATCTTGCTTCTGAAGAAAGGTGACTTAGATACATGTTAAATGAACAGGGATACAAACTAAGGCTGGCGTTCAGATTGCTATAAATATGATTTGCATATGCCCAGCTGGCATAGTCAGAGGTGGGGAGTCCCCGGGAGATGGGAAAAAGCTAAGAATGGCAAACATCTGTGACCTGGTGTTCCCCATCCATTTACGCTCTTTAGGAGCAGGAGGGATTTCTCATCAAGGAAAGTCTCATGGGGCTTTCTTTCCCAGGGAGTATCTCCATGGGTCGTGAAAGATGCCAATGGGCAGAGACCTTGAGAGATACTAGGACAGTCACCTCTTCATCCTAATGTAACTGTTGTGTGGAGATGCAAAGGCTTGTGCTTTCAAGCTCTTACAAAATGGTTGTGGTTGAAATAGATAGTGACTTCCTTGCTGCGAAACTGTTTGCATGCACAAACAGCTTGGAAATTGAGACAACACGGTACCTCTTTTTTTTTTTCTCTTCCAAAGCAAACTAAAAAGTTGGGAGTTTTAATAAATCTAGAAACTGAAGAAAAATTACCTTTTAGTGAAAATCTCCCATCTCAAGTTATTTCCTTCTTCCAGATGGAAACTGGGGAGATGAATTAAAACAGAGCAACAGGCAGAAGCTGTGGTCCCACTTTTTGGACACACCCAAGCACCTTCTACACTTCTTTTCTGAGAGTATAAATGCTTTACTTTTGAACTTCCTTTGGGAAATGGCTTTCTTGAAGTATGAGTCATCTCTAGAGAAGGATGAATCAGTTGTTGTGATTAATAATAAAAAGGTTGGTCAGAACTGATAGTTCATGACTGCTATTTCTTGGAGGAAGCTAAGTGTTGCTGTAAGGAAATGAGACTTGAACACAGAGCTGAGGCAGGGATGATGGTCCTGAGTCACGTGTGCCCCCCCCCCGCCCCGTATCTCATGTCTACTTTCCCAGTTTGGTGAGTTTGAAGTGAGCTCAGAGGCGTGTGCTTAGGCTGACAAATCAGCATCATTATGCCCTTTGTTTCAGACACAGTGAGGACTGATGGATGGTTCTTTCTGGAAAAGAGGAGGGGCTGCTCAGGAGGGATAAACCCAGAAGAACAGCCCAGCCTTTCTTGGGGGGCTGCTGCTGCTCTGCACCACTGCTTTGTTGAGACCCCCTGCTACTAAGCAACTGGGCCACAGCCTTTGTAAGCCAGTGGGCAAATCCTCTGGCAGAGGCTGAAGAGAAAGGGCCAAGGGCCACACTGGCGGGCATTGGATGGAACCTTTTGAAAGGAAACAAAAATAAAGGCAAGAGTAGCAAGCAATGGATGGGATCTGGTCTCAGCTGGCTTGCCAAGCAAACTCTGGGAAGCTGCATGGAGAAAGGATTCTCTTTAAGGTTCCCTAATGTGTCTGTGGTACTTTGGCCATTACATTCCCAGGCTGTTTCTATGGCACTTACCAAAAGAAAGAACAGTGTCATCATGTCCCCTCCCTTCCCATTCGGCACTTCTTTCTCAGACTCATGAAATAAGTCTCTGCCTTCAATGGAACTGTGTAAAAGGAAATGGATTGGAAGGCAGACAAGATATACTGGCTAGGCTGGTTTTTCACAAAGAGAAACTCTCTAAGAGTAAACAGTGTTTATTTTTTGTTGATTTTTTTCAAACAAATGGAATTGCTTAATTAAAAAAAATCCTTATGTCTTTTCTTCTTAAATACTACAGACAATCTCATTTTATCGCATCAGACACCTAGAAACAAAACACGGAACCCACCAGAGAAAACTGGGCAATGAATGAACGCATCAGAAATTCAAGTTGACTATGGAAGAATTAGTGCCAGTTGGCAGCTCTTGATTCTAAACAAAAGTGGCCTGAGCCTACCGAGCTTGACAAAAGTTTCTTAGAATTGGGGAGCTAGGAACATTGAACTCCTTTTTATCCTATTCCAATTGTTTTATGCATAGGGAAATGAAACTCAATGCATCAAATGAAGACCCAAAGAAACATTCAAAAACTTGTTTGACTAGTATTCAGTATGTGAGACTAAGTAATAGCTTGTCCTCCTAGTTAACCTTGTCCTGGAATATATATAAGTTATTTGTAGCCGCCACTGCTATAATATTTTCTGAAGGATGCCAAGCTGTATGCAAGATCTTTTTGCTAAAGTCCAGACTGTCGACACTGATCTCGTCTTTTCTTCGCTTGCCTCCGACGCACACTTTTCGGGGTTTGAGGATAGCCCGGGGTTTGCTGTTTTCCCTCGAGGCCTCAAGGGTCACGTCACGCTTGGTGTTTCGGTCAAACATCCTGAAGAAGTTGTTGTAGGAGCCCGTCATGATGACACTGCCAGGGAGAGGGGAAACTAAGTATTACAGAGAAGGGTGGTCAGACATCCCCATAGCATCTCTCAGGAGCAAATGATTCTCATCAAGGCCAGCTCACAGAACCAGAGGTTTAAACTGAGAGCATTGACTTCTTTTTGGGTCACTAAAAGTGCCAAGTTCTTTAGCTGGGCTTACAACAAAGGGTTGAGATGACCATCAGTATTACTCACTTTTGTTCCACAAATACCTTTTGTTCTTGAGTCACTAATCGGGCCCAATTGTTATTGTCCTGGGGTTACTGATATTCCATTAGTGTAAGGAAGTGTGGTCTTGTTGGAGAAAGTGTGTTACTGTGGAGGAGGGCTTTGAGGTCTCACATATGCTCAAGATACCATCTAGTGTCTCAGGACACTTCCTGTTGCCTTTGCTTCAAGATGTAGAATTCTCCAGCACTGTTTGCCTGCACGTTGCCATACTCTGTCACCATGCTTTTTGCCATGATGATAATGGACAGAACCTCTGCAACTGTCAGTTACCCCTCAATTAAATGCTTTCCTTTATAAGAGTTGCTGTGGCTATGGTGTCTCTTCACAGCAATATAAATCCTAAGACAGGAGCCCATAATGAGGAGGTGTAAGCAGGAACATACGGAATAAGTGAACTATTTCCCAGGTCTGACATACAATTGTTTTACTGGAATTTCTGGGCTGTCTGAGCTCTGGGGACTTACTTAGCTCATCAGCCAGATGTGTGAAGCGCAGAAGCAGTGACCACCACAGGGTAGCCTCTCTCCTTTTGGGAGCCAGCTCTATAATCTGATGTTTTAGAAAACTTGTCCACAAAATGGAGACACAGTAAACAGATTGGACCATCATATATCTAAACTTTGTGGAAGGCATTATAGGAGATGCTTCCTTGTTCTTGTGACCTGTCCCTCCTTGGGGATGTCAGTGATTGAGTGGGAGAGCAGTGAATGCTGAAGGCTTTCCAGCAACAGAGCAATGAACCTTTACAGCTGGCATTTAAGATAGGTGGCAAGCATTGGGGACATTTGGGGTATGTACCCTATGTGTACCATCTCATGGTGGCACCTCAAAGAGGCTGACATAGATTGTGTTTGGCAAGGAATGCCGGTTGTCTGCTGTGTTTCGGTGGAGGAAAAAAAAAACTGGTAAGGCTGGCTGACTTTGGGAACTTTGTCAACTGTGTGGATTCATCAGAGGTTGGATTTTGTTTGACTGGCCCAGTCAAGGGAAGCCGTGGATAAAGGGGTGTCTGTCTGGGTGCTCCAGGGAACTGTCACGGGGGCATATGGGGTTCTGCCTCCACAGTCACAGTTAAGTTTCCGGTAGCCCATGCAAGGGAAGGTGTGCACGCCGACAGCTCAGAATGCACGTGTAGACCACAGAGTGTGAACACCCAGCCATCTGGTTTTGTAGCTCCTGGGACACTGAGTTCAGTTCTGCGTCAAGATCTGACTTACTTTTAAGCACGCCAGAAGAAATATGTTTTATCCCTAAATAGCTTAACTTTATCTGAACTCTGAACAACATTGATCTCAGGACTCAAAGGTTTTTGAAATTACTGCTCACTAATGTTTGAGGTTGGGCCACCTCACCAAGTCTGCAGTAAGCTGACTCTTAACTTCCACAACCGTGAGATGGAAATGAGGGAGACAACCCTACTAGGCTGTGGCTGGGATTAGAAGATGTGTATAAAAAAGTGTCTTGTGCATAGATACTTAGTAGTCATTGGTTATGAATCTATGTCAGTGAAGGGCAAACTGAAATAATAACAGATTTGTAAATAGAATCAACCAGCAATGACTAAGTGGTAAAGTAACAGACTGGCCTCTTTTCCTGGGGACTCCGGTTTGTATGGTTCAGTTATTTTTCTCTCTTATCCTGTATAAACTGTATAAACTGTGCAACCTGGGTCCTTTGTTCCATATTTACTACATCTGGTTCAGCTGAATTCCTCAGTAGAAGATTCAGTGGTGGTTTGGGAAGAGGGGCAAGATGGTCAGAGACCATGGCACTCACTCAGAGCTGGAATCTCAGAACGGCCTGCTGTGAAAAAGTCCCATGCTATTGAATGCTATGTCTCCATCATCAAGGAGCTAACGGAACCTCAGCAGCCTGCATCTAGTTTACAGATACTCAGAGAATCATTTGTATTTGTCAAACTAAAAATGAACTATTGGGAGGCAATATGAAGTATTGTAGAAATCAAGGGCCTTAAAACACTAATAAATCACTCTGAAGGATTGTGATTAATGAGGTTGGCTAGAATTCTACTAATGAAGTACTGGGACCTTCAGTCAGGTCTGTTCTAGCAGCTTCAAGGGGATATGTCTAGAAAGCCCCTCGACAATAATCAGAATTATGCAGGAGAGGACTTCCTGGTGTATTACCAGTGGTCTTGAGTAGGCACTTGGCCCTAGCTTTTGGCTGCCTTGTATGTCAAAGACAGCATTTTCTTGTTGACATTGAACTGTCACCTGTGCCAGTAGAAATGAACCTGGGGTCCTCACAGCATGCTTCTCCTTACAGACTTGACCATAGTTTCCAGTCAGTGACCCACATAATGTATCCTGGCTAGGTCCTGGAGTCCAGCATTGATCTCCATTTGGATGCAGTCCATTTAGGGTAAATCGTCTAGAGGTTTCTTCAGGGAAAGACTCTTAACCTGAGTGTTTCTTACCTGTCTGACCCATTCCACACACACTCAAATTTATCAAAAATGCAGTCGTTTTCATAGAGGGAGCACAACTTGCTGCGGAGGTAGTCATGAACCTGAGAGGAAACATCAAGAACATGTTGTCATCATCCAAGGCGAGGAGCCCTATGAACACTGACTTGGTGACATGAGCTGTCCATCCCCTCTGTGCGCCCTAGCATTGTGTCAGGTGGTGCTGGACTGTGTGCAGGCTCAGGGCCCTGCCTTTAGGAGGAAAGCCTGGGTCAGCGAGCTCTTATGCCAGTGTGGATTGAAGAAGGTTGCTTGTATAGATAGTGGCATAAAGCAGGGGCCAGTAAGTAGCAGAATTATGTTTTGTTTTATTGTTAGTGTGCATGCCTGCATGATGTGTGTATGCAGGTCTGTGCACGCGTGGAGGGCAGAGGACAGCTCTGTGGAGTTGGTTTTCTCTTTCCACTCATCCATGGGCTCTGGGGGACTAAAAAGCTCACCAGGTGTTAGAGACATAGTATCCACTTAGGCTTTGCTACACAGCTGTTCATTACAAAGTCTGCTCTGGGCTTGAGGCAGAGCATTGGGAAGGAGACCATAGAATGGAATAGATACATGGTAAGTTTTAGAAAGTGCTAAAATCACAGAATATGGAAGCGTGGAGAAGAGCACTGAGGGATGGGGGCTTATTTCGGGGAATGAGGACTCCAGGTTACACGGGATAAGGAAACACGGCCTTGGAAGCCTGCAGAGAGTGAATGAGTCTGAATGGCATCTGGAATAAAGGCTTTTTCCAGTCAAAGGGTCACAGGTACAGGTCTGGGAAGGAGTGTGACAGACAGATGGTGAGTAAGCAGATTGGGATGAAGGACATCACGGAAAGGTCTGCCAGGTCTGCTGTGAAATGTAAGGGCAGAAGACCCAGGGCACGAGACTGGCTGTCGCTTTACTGTGATGGCTCAGACTAGGGCAAGAGCAGTCGTAGAACTCGAGATGTGGTCTGGGTAGCACTGGTCGGCTATAGAGCAACCCTGAGGGGTGGAGCAGAAAACCGGAGTCAAAGACGGTTCTGATCTCTCTTTTGAGTATAAGGTGGCTGGGCAGGAGGGGCTGCTGAAGCCCTCCTGAGGAGACAGATGAGGCCATGGATTTTGAAAACTGAATCCCTGAAAGAAATAGAAACACTGAAAACTCAAGCTGAAATGAAGATAGAGTTGAAAAAAAATTCAGTATCTCAATTTGAAAACTTAGGGGAAGATAAAATATCAGGTTTCAATGATTAAGTAGAGGAATTAGATCACACAAGCAAAGAACATGAAAAATTAAAAATCATATAGGAAAGGACTATGTAGCAACTGTAGACACCAAATCTTTGAACTATAGGCATAGATGAGGGAAAAGAATTCCAGGTCAATGGCACAGACCAGATCTTCAAGCTTATAGAAGAAAATCTCCCATAAGGAAACACACCTGTATAGATACAGGAAACACCCAGAACAACAAACAGAAGAGGAACTCCCCATGACATATCATAGATAAAACACTAAGTATATAGAACAAAGAAAGAGAATGAACGTTTCAAGAGGAAAAAAAACCCACAAATCACATATAAAGGAAAGTCTGTCAGAACAATAGCTGATAGAAACCTGGAAAGCCGGAAGAGCTGTGTGCTCCAAACTCAGAATTATTATGGATGCTAACTTAGACTACTGGACCCAGCCAGACTATAGGCTGTAATTGAGAGAAAAAGGAAAACCTCCCATGGTACAAATAGACTAAAAGAGTTCATGCCCACTAAACCAGCTCTATGAATATGCATTAGTGATTCTAGAAAGAAAATAATGCTGTTATTACTGAAGCATAAAGTGTGATTAAGTACACAAACAACACACACACACACACACACACACACACACACACACACACACTTGGGAGGCTGAGGCAGACAGATCTCTGTGAGTTCAAGGCCAGCCTGACCTAAAGAGCTAGTTCCAGGACAGGCTCCAAAGCTACACAGAGACCTGTCTCCAAAAAAACAAAACAAAAAGAAACTCAATTTTCAATTTTAAAGATATGCACGAGTCTAAAGAGAAAGAATAGGAAAAAGTATTCCAAACAAATGGAACCAGGAAGCAAGCCAAGCAGGTATTGCTATCGTAATATTATGCCTTCATATTAAAATTAATCGGGCAGAAAGGCAGGCAGGCTAGCTGCAGATCTACACCCCTCCCCAATCTCATCCCCAGCTCTGTAGCAAATCAGGGGCTGCAGCCTCCCCTCCCTCTCAGCTCCATCTCTAGAGGATCAAGCAGATCTTTTTCCCAAACTCACCCTTTTGTCCCTGCCCATAACTCCAGCAGGCATTCCCTGGAAAGCCACAGGCTACACCTCCCAGGGAAACAGGTAGGCTGACAGCAGATCTTCACCTCTCTCCTCTCCTCTCATCCATTTCTCCAGCTCCAGCTGCTGAGGGCCACCTGCCTTGGTCTGGCCTCACTCTATGTCTTTACTCCCGGGGGGTTAATCAGATACTGATGAGACACCATACTTCCTGTTTCCCATGGACCGTCTCAGCCCCCTTTTAGCCCATTCCCATTTCTAAGTGCCAGCTCCCAATACCTAGAAATACTGGGAACTCCTGTGGCTACATCTGGCAGGATCCCAGAAGTATTCCATACCAGGCAACACACAGCCACTACAGAGAAGGCAACAGAAGTCAAGGAACAAAACACCCAACAAAGACAGGACCATATATCAGCACATAGAATTACAGTCATCTCAAACTCAGATGCCTAGACATCAGTGTGAGAACACCCAGGGCAATGCCTCCAGGAGAACTCTGCAATCCTACTACAGTAGTCCCCGATAAATGCAACACAGCCGAAGTACACGATAAAACTGAATAAAATAGAGGTCCCTAAAGAGGAAATTAATAAATTCCTTAAAGAAATTTATGAGACCACAAACAGTAGAAGGAGATGAATAAAAATGCTTCATGACTTGAAAGTGGAAATAGAATCAAATGAAACCCAAACAGAGAGAAATCTGGAAATGAAAAACTTAGGAACTCAAACACAAATTTCAGAGGCAAGCCTCTCCAACAGAATACAAGTGATGGAAGAGAGAATCCCAGACAATCTGGTACACTATGAAAAGACCAAATCTATCAACAACAGGAATAAAGGAAGAAGAAACCACAGTCAATGGCACAGGAAATATTTTCAATAAAACCATGGGAGAAAATGTCCCCAGACTAAAGAAGGCAACGCCTATCAAGATATAAGGAATATACAGAACACCACCAAATAGACTGGACCAGAAAAGAAATTCCCCTCGGCATATAATAATTAAAACACTAAGCATACAGAACACAGAAGGCATATTAAAAGCTGCGAGGGAAAAAGACCAAGTAACATACAAAGGCAGACCTGTCAGAATAACACATGAACTTTCAACGGAGACTCTAAAAGCCAGAAGGGGCTGGACAGATGTTCTACAGACTATAAGAGACCACAGATGCCAGTCCAGACTACTATACCTAGCAAAACTTTTAATCGCTATAGATGGAGAAGGACATTCCATGATAAAACCAAATTTTAGCATATCTATTTACATATTCAGATCTATAGAAGGTGTTAGAAGGAAAACTTCATTTTGAGAAGGTTAACCAAACAAAAGAAAATACAAAGAATAAATAATCCCAGATCAGCAAATCAAAGTGGGGCACTACCACAACAAAAATAAACAGTAATCTATTAACATTGCTCACTGATAACCCTCAACATCAGTGGTGTCAACTCCCCAATAAAAAGACACAGACTAACAGAATGCATGTAAAAACAGGAACCATCTTTCTGCTGCAGCCAAGAAATGTGCCTTAACATCAAGGATCATCTTGAGTTAGACATCATCTTAGGGTAAAAGGATGCAAAATGATATTCAAAGCAAATGGAACTAAGAATAAAGCTGGTCTAGCCACTTTAATATCTGACAAAATAGGCTTCAAACCAAAACTAATCAGAAAGATAAGGAAGGACACTACATACTCATCAAAGAAAAAAATCATCAAGAGGGCACTGCAATTCTTAATATCTATGCAGCAAACAATGGCATCCAGGTACATAAAAGAAACACTATCACAGCTTAAATCACAATTGGGCCTCGCACATAGATAGTGGGTGACTTCACTGCCTCACTCTTGCCAGTCGACAGGTCATCCAGACAAAGAACAAACAGAGAAATGCTGGAGTTAACTTACACCATAAACGAAATGGACCTAACAGATGCTTACGGAACATTTCACCCCACACAGAAGAACATACCTTCTTTCCAGCATCTCTTAGAATTTTCTCTGAAACTGACCACATACTTGGGCACAAGGCAGGTCTCAGAAGATAAAAAAGAAAATTGGAATAGCATCCTGCATGCTGTCTAGCCACCATGGATTAAATAAAGCATGATATCAACGTCTACAGAAACAACAGAAAGCTCACAAGCTCATGGAATGGAACAGCTCTACATTCAATGAAAAATGGGTCAAGACAGAATTAAGAAAGAAATGGAAACTTTTAAGAATTGAATGAAAATGAAAACATGACACAACAAACTTAGGAGACACAATAAAGACAGTTCTTAGAGGCAAGTTCCAGGACAGCCAGAGCTACTAAACAGAGAAACCCTGTTTTGAAAAATGAACAAAACAACAACAACAATAAAAAATGGAGTGATTTCATACGAACAGCACCCGCAAAGTTCTAGAACAAAAAGAACCTATGCCCTAAAAGAGTAGATAGCAAGAAATCATCAACTCAGAGAAGATAGCAATAACATAGAGATAAACAACTAAAGGATAGAGAGACTATCCAAATTAATACAATTAGAAATGAAAAGGGAAGCTGGGCGGTGGTGGCGCACGCCTTTAATCCCAGCACTTGGGAGGCAGAGGCAGGCGGATCTCTGTGAGTTCGAGGCTAGGCTGGACCGACAGCCTCCAAAACATTACAGAGAAAACCTGTCTCATAAAACCAAAAAAAAAAAAAAAAGAAATGAAAAGGTAGACATAACACTGAGGAAATCCAGAGAATTATAAGGACATACTTTAAAA